TGAGTCGGAATCGGCTTGAAAGCAGTACATTTGGTTTGGGGTTTTGAGTTTAATCCCTTTGTACCTAAGAGAATGGTGCCCTCACCCGGCTATTCTCATAGATGCCACAGTGTCACCTCTGTGTGCTCAGAAACAGACCCTTGGTTTTCCCATTCCAGCCTCACCCTCCCCTTTCATCCGCTCTTTTATCCCAGCTCTACCCTCACCTGCCAGCCTCACCCTCACACTCACCTGCCAGCCTCACCCTCTTATTTCAACCTCGCTCTCATGGCACTCTGCTTGGCTTCTGTGGCTCTGATCGTGAGCCTGCTGAACTAAGCTGCCCTCTGTTAAGGAGACACACACACACACACACACACACACACACACACCATGACCCTGCCTGGCCTTGGTGGGAGACCCTGCTCTCATCTCCATTCCTTCCGCTGATGCCTGAGGTCTATGCAACAGCAGAGCTGAAACGCAACTGCGCTCTTTAAGGGGGTGAACTGAACTATCAGGCGTCTTTGGGTAATGCTAACTGACAGGCTAGAAGAGTGAACCCCCCAGCAGTACTGCGGAAGAAAGGCCTGAAGACGGATCTGTTCCCATCAAGAAGAGCCAAGAGAGACCTGGGGAACCGTTCTAACCTGTAGCACCGAGGTTGCCAGGAGTCAGAATAGGCTTGATAGCAACACGTTGACTGGAAGGTTAGGAGGCTCTGGGTGGTTCCAACCAATAAGTGCTTGGTTGACAGTTCAAGTCTCCCAAACAAGGGACTTTGGGGAAAGAGAGCCTGGTGATCTGCGCCTGAAAAAAGCAGTCACTGAAAACCCTTTCGGACGCAGTCCTACCTGGACACACGTAAGGCTGCCAACAGTTGAAACAGACTCAATAGCAGCTGTTTGGGGCATTTTGATGGAAATATCAGGATGATGTAAAGTACAACACCTGGGTGCAGACCTGCACAGGGATTAATTACCAGTCAGAGATTGCTTGGTCTCCTTGCACAGAGCCAAGAGCAGCTCCTCTGACACAGCTGGAAAGGCATGCTGATCCAGGGAGAGGGAGAGGGAGAGGGAGGGAGGGAGGGAGAGAGAGAGAGAGAGATTTATTTGTCCTCAGTACATCGTAAGATCCACTCAAGTTTTCATTTCAAGATTGGCCTCTTCCAGGAAGATTGACATTAAGAATATCCATTCTTCCCCCTCACCTCTGGAGCAAAGATTTGCCAGATGTTTGTTATGCTCCAGGCACTGTAGTAGACACTAAGGATACAGTGGGGGAACAAAACAGACATGGTCCCCGATCTCATAGAGTTTAAAGTCTACAACAGGAAGAAAAAAAACACCCTACAAAATTATAAGTTAATAGAGATCGTAACTACATTAATGGTTTCATGGGGGTGTCGTGGGAGAGGTTGGGGGCAAATGGGGAGCTAATAACCAGGAGTACAAGAAAGAAGAAAAGGTTCTAAAATTGGTGTGGTAAGGATTGTCCAACTCTTCTTGATCTGAGTGAACTATTGAACTGTGGAGAGAGTGGTGTAAGAGGAGGCTAGACAAGGAGACAGGAGCCAGTCCGGGTAGATCCCGGAAGGCCATGACAAAGACCGTGGACTGCTCTTGAAGAGTATTGAGCAGAAGGACCAATGGCATGCTTTGATATACAGTGTTTGAAGAGTCCTCCAGACGTCATGTACAATGAATGGAAGATGGAGCAAGAGGGCAGTTGAAGGACAACTGGAGATGGCCAGTGGTCTAAGCAAGAAATGCTGATGGCTTGGACTGTGCTACTAGAGGGGAAGCAACTTCAAAATAGATGTGGAGTAGAATCAATGCAACTGGATTACAGATTACATGCACATACTAGGGGAAGAGAAGACTAACAGAAAAAGTCCAGAAAAGTTACAAGTTTTTATTTGGCGAGTAGGGCACTGACAAGATGGTCAAGCAATAGTCAGTCCATTTCCAAAGGTCCTAGCTATTCGGTCTTAAAGAGTCCATGTGAGAAGAATGGCCAACTTAGGCCAACCCCTCCTCATAGACCCCTATCTCTTTAAAGCCCCCAACAGTCTGACAATCCAGTGAATGACGTCACGCCCCTGACACACATAATAAGTCCTTCCCGCTAAGTATTCCTGGGAAAACAGCCGATAGAGGGAATATTGTGAAGAATTTATCACAGTGATTGTACCCCTAGGTACGAATCCTACCTCTGCCACTGACGGACTTGGGTTCCTTACTTGCTCTGTGACTCAGTTTCCTTATCTGTGAGATGGCAGTGAACAATAGTATCTACCTCCAAGTGCTGTCAGAAGGCTTACGTGGATGACAGGTGACATGTTTAGATGCTGTGGCACACAGTAGAGACTCAGACCCCTTCCATCTGTCGTGTCAGTTCCCAGCTCATAGCAAGTCTATAAAGGGTTTCTGAGGCTGTCAATCTTTATAGGAGCCGATAGCCTCCGTTTTCTTCAGCAGAGTGGGCTGTGGGTTTGAACTACCAACCTTGTGGTTGGCGGCCAACAGCACTCCTGGGGCTCCTTTTGGTGAGGAGATACCCTTCGTCTTCATGAACTCAAATGGTGTCGGAAGCTTCTCACGTCTCCAGCACCGTTTAGGATGCTGGTTAGCAGAGTATGAAGTCCTTTCAGTCAGACAGAATGGACTTCAAGTTTCTGCTCTCTTGCAGAACCTCTTTGAGCCCACATGTCTCCCTTGTAACTAGAGGGATCATAAAACCTTGAGTGGATCTTGTGAGACTAAGGCGGAACCCATTGATCAATACTTTGTACAGGTGGATGTTCAACCAATGTTGGCTCTCTCTCTAATTTAAATAGAGCACACTTAACCCTCGAATCCTCAGGAGAATCCAATGGAGAAAGGTAATCTCCGACCATTTCATGAACCTTTAGCCTATGAATAAATGTACATGTTTTAGGACTTATACTTTCTTGCCCTATTCAGCACAGCATGATGCTATCTGAGAACTGGGTTAAGGCTGTCAAATGCCAACCCAAAGGTTGGCGGTTTGAGTCTACCCATCAGTGCCTGGGAAGAAAAGCCTGGGCATGCCCTTCTGAAGAGTCAGACGTTGAAAATTCTAGGGGCCACAATTCTACTCTGCCACACAGGGGTCACCACGAGTCAGAATCCAGGGCAACGGTTGACCCGTTTATGGAGCTATTTAAAAAACAGGTACACAGCTATGGCGTCTTACATCCCAGAGAGAGATGGCCCGAGGAGAGTCTATTGGGTCTCCCAAACCATCTGTATTTCCCACTGCAAAGCCTGCCCTTTGCTCAATGCCAGGCCCACTTCCTCTCTCTGTTCCCACCACCTGGAACAATCGGAGTAAGAAAACATGGGCAGGAGCCCAGAGAAAGCACTCTGGATGATCCTGGAAAGCCTAGATGCCTTAGGCTTTTATTTTCCAAGCTGGCTGCACCGCTTCCTTTGGCCGAGTCCTGGGGGTGGCAGTTTGCTCTGGACACCTTCCTTCTGTCCACAGTCTTTCCAGTGGCCTTCCCAGGTTCCGGGAACTCACCTCTCCCTGACTTAACTGAGTCATTTGCATTTTGATATACATATGTCTAAGTTGCTCTGGCCATTCCCATCTCCCCAGGAGCAGTGGCATTTGAAGACTCCCATCCAATGTAAAGGGAAAAGCTTGTTCCTGCTAAGGGAATTAAAACCTCCACAGTGTCCTCCCCCTCGATCCTTGAACTCTCTGTGTTAATTGTAGTCTGTGATGTGTTTGGGCCCTGAAAGGATAATGCGATACCACAGCTTGACTCTGGTAGACTTTTGGAGGACGAGCAAAGCAATATAGCAACATCTACGAAGAGAAGAAAAAGACTGGTGGCTAGGTGTGGACCCGCAGCAAAATAAAAAATGACTGAATAAACCTAATGGGGTCTATACCCTGAGATGCTCTTCAAACTCTGGAAGCAAAACTAGCCTCCGATGCCACCTTGTAGCTAAAAATTATAAATTGGTTCAAAACATAATGAATACCAACTGCAAGTACTGTGCTCCTACAAAAAAAAAAATATCACCTCCTGTGGTTGGTGCCATTCAGCCTGGTCCAACTCACACCAGAGCAAGACACTGCCCCGTCCTGTGCCCCCACCCCACCCCACCCCCACCCCCACCTCACAAGTGTTCCTGTGCTGGAGCCCACTGGTGCAGCCACCATGTCGCCCAGCTTGTGGAGGGCCTTCCTCTTGTTGGCTGTCCCTCCCCTTTCCCAAGCTTGAAGTCCTTCTCCAGGGACTGGTCTCTCCTGGCAACATGACGGAGTCTCGTTATCCTCGCCCTTAAGGAGCATTCTGGCTGTACTTCTTCCAAGACAGTTCGGTTAGTACTTTTGCCATCCATGGTACTTTTCCATAGGCTTCACCAGCACCGTCATTCAGCCGCACCCATGCCTCTTCACTGGTCCGCGTTTATCATCCAACTTCCACATGCCTGTGCGGGGACTGAACATACGGTACCTTGGGATGGGCACACGTATCCTCAAAGTAACATCTCTGCTTTGCAACACTTTAAAAATCACCTGGATGAGATCAAACGGTCAATACTAACTTTAAAATAAAGACGAGACGATAAGGATACAGCGTCTGGTGGGCCTTGGGTCTGTGACCCAATGTCGTGTGTTGAGAATGACACTTTCTCTCACAGTGTGGAGCACTGGGAGCTCCTGAGTGCACACGCTCAGCTGCTCCTGGGAAGATCGGGGCCTCCTCTGTACCCTTGGCCTCTCTCCTTTACTTTGAAAGTTCAACAAACTGACAGACAAGCGGTGGCCAGAGAAACAAGGTCCACAGACAGGGAACAGGCAGCCAGACATGATGAGAATGTTCACACGGGACGGAGCCTGTCACCCGTGTCACAGGACAGCTTGGGGAGAAAGTGCTGAGTGGGAACCTGGACTGCCGTGTAAGCCTCCACCCAAGCATAGTCAAAGATGATTATTTTTTAATTAAGAAAGACTAATGGCACTTCTTTGCATTCCAGAGAACAGATCCGCCAAGGCCTAGAGGAACTCCAGAAAGTCCTGCCCGGAGGGGACACGTACATGCATGAAGGATTTGAAAGGGTAATTTTAAAACAGCTCTAAAACTCCCAATAGAAAATGTGATATTAGAACCTTAGCGCAGGGCAAGCTGATGAGATTAAGGGGGCCATGTATTAAGGAGGTTGAATAACACCCAATACAACAGAGCAAAAAATAAATGTGTTCTTTGTAATCGTCTACACTAATCATTCGATCCCAAAGACCTGAAGAATGGAATTTCCTGCTTCCGTTCCTGACTCTGAGAAGGGTCTGTTGACTCATGCTTGGTTGGCATTCCTAAATGACACTGCCTGAAGCCTCCTGTACTCCCTACATGGCATTTGCCTGGATGGTGGCTTCAAGAGTGGAGGGACAATTTTAGGGATTTCGACCTTAAGAAAATAAATTTGAGGGCACAAGAAGTCACTGATCCATTTGCCTAAATATATTCGCTAAATGTGAGGACAAGACAGATGGCCTCCGTTGGTATTTGAGTGAAGCCTGGGGGGGTGGCATAAAGAATCCACCCGAGTCCTAGTTGCACGTCTAACACCAGCTCCCACTGTCCACTGTGGTCTCTGGAATGGCCCACACTGGCCATCCTCTCATGCCTCGCTACTTTCTCTTTCAGGCCAGTGAGCAGATTCACTATGAAAACAATCAAGGTAAGACCATATGGAGACATGGCAGCACCAACTTTGTAACTGTTTTCTGTGTTTGCTTCTGAAAAAAATGCCTCCGTAGCCTCATGTTTTCAAAGACACATAGGATGTCATCTGTAATCCTTGCCCGTGCATCACATCACAAAGAGAAAATGTGTAGAAGACGATGGGTACCAAGAAAAATTATATGAAAGTAGTTTAGAGCTCTTTATGGCCAGTCTGGAATTCCCACGGACAGCCCATTCATGTTGAATTTAAAAACATTGTCAATACTTGAATGGTCTATTGAAGTCTTGGATTTTGTGTCAAGTTTAATTTTCTTGTCCTCTGAGCTCTAAGCCTCTTTATTACTGTCAGTGGCTACAATGTCTTAAGATAACAATTTGATTTAAACTTTCATTCAAGTGAAAAAAAGTGAAATATACTAGTAGTATGTTCAACACATTGAAATATTAGTATTTATTATTATAATAGGACTGCTATTACTATAGTATCTTTTATAGATCGCATTTCTTTATCTGAGGCAAATCATTTAAAAGAATCAATGCTACCGTAGGGAATTATCTTTCAAGCTTGTAAAAGATGTCAACTTCCTCTTTTTAAAAGGGAATAAAGTGAACAACCTCACTACCAGCACCAGTGCTTGTCAATGTTAAACATAGCAAAATGAATAGAAGTGTGAAAAAAAAAATCACTCAAAGAATTCTCATAGGTTTTGCCAGCTGCCAGCTAACCACCAGAAGTTAGAAGTTCAGAAGTTCAAACCCAGCAGCCATTCTGGAGGAGAAAGATGAGACTGTCTACTCCTGTAGAGACTACAAGTCTCAGAAACCAAAGAGGGCAGTTCGATCCTGCCCTACAGGGTCACCAGGAGCTGGAACTGACTCCGTTTTGAGACAGTACTTTCAAGAATTCCTGATGCTTCGGTGGTGAGGAATTTGTCTACTAGCATAAAGGCTGATGGCTCACCGCCTCCCCCCCACCCCCCAGCCATTCCCGGAAAGAACGATGTGGCAGTCTTGGCCCCTGAAGGTCACAGCCGTCACCACTCAGTGGGGCAGTTCTGCTCCATCCCAAAGGGCTGCTACAAGTTGGACTCGACCCCACAGCAGCAGTTTTGTTGTCTAATCGATCACGATGCCCATTACTCTTTGCTAAGATCTCTTCAAAGGGCAGTGGTGTGTGGCCACCTATAGCATGTGAGAAGGGCCAGGCGCCATCCCATGTATCAGAGTTTGCTCTAATGACATGGACTGCTATTAGTACTCCCAGCTAAGGGAGCCAACAGTTAAGTACCTCTGGAAGCAGTCTTCCTC